CAGCTCAAAGTCTGTGCTCATCATTGACCCGAAGTTGCGAACTGCAGACACAACAACCATCACAGGCATTTCTGGTGGGCGCAAGTGGCATGGCACCGCCTTGGGCGGCAACGGGTTCATCCACGGCATTCCTTACGACTCGCGCTCTGTTCTCATCATCAACCCCAACACAAAGACGATTGACACAACCACCATCAGCGGCATTTCGGGTTACCAGAAATGGCATGGAGCCGTGGCAGCGAAGAATGGGTTTGTTGTTGGCATCCCTCGCGACTATTACAAGGCGCTGATCATCGATCCCATCACCAACCGAGCCACACGGCACAGCATCAGCGGACTCCCTGCCGGCGGTCGACTTGACAACGATCCCAGACGTAGGTGTTGGCGGGTCCTACAATTCTGCACTGCGCTTGGACAACAACCTCATCTACGGCATCCCGAGGAGTGCTCCTGCCGTGCTGATCATTGATCCAAGCACCAACACTGTTGACACAACGAGCATCGCTGGAATAAGTGGTGGCACGTGGGAAGGGGCGGCCCAGGCTGGCAACGGGCTCATCTTTTCTGTCCCCTACAGCTCAAAGTCTGTGCTCATCATTGACCCGAAGTTGCGAACTGCAGACACAACAACCATCACAGGCATTTCTGGTGGGCGCAAGTGGCATGGCACCGCCCCGGGCGGCAACGGGTTCATCCACGGCATTCCTTACGACTCGCGCTCTGTTCTCATCATCAACCCCAACACAAAGACGATTGACACAACCACCATCAGCGGCATTTCGGGTTACCAGAAATGGCATGGAGCCGTGGCAGCGAAGAATGGGTTTGTTGTTGGCATCCCTCGCGACTATTACAAGGCGCTGATCATCGATCCCATCACCAACCGAGCCACACGGCACAGCATCAGCGGACTCCCTGCCGGGGACGCCAGATGGTACGGAGGTGTGCTTGCAGACAACGGTCTGATTTACGGCATCCCATACCGCGTTGGCACGTGTCTCGTGATGGATCCAGGATGCTAAAACTGGCGAAGAGGGGCGCGCGCATGTGTGTGTGTGTGTGTGTGTGTGTGTGTGTGTGTGTGTGTGTGTGCGCGCGCGCGCGCGTGTGTGTGTGTGTGTGTGTGTGTGTGTGTGTGTGTGTGTGTGTGTGTGCAGGTATTCAGTTGTGTTCCCTCTCCTTGCCTGCTTGAACTCTCATGGTGTGTTGCAAGTGTTTTGGGATGTGGCCGTGTGTTGCCAACCTTTGTTTACGTTTATGTTGCCCTGCGTTTCGATCGCTGCGCATGTCACTCCCACCCTTATGGTGTCTTGTGTGTTCTGTTGGTCACCTTCACATAGTGTGGCTACCAGTGGAATGTTTACCCTCAATGAACAAACTCAAACACACGCACAAACACATAAAGGTGCGCTCCATGCATGGACAGTCCTCGTTTGCACATGTGCAAAGGCGCACACCTTCACATGTATGTCATTGCCACCGAAACACTTCGCCGTGTTGCCACGGCACGTCGCGTCCTCGCACGCAACGGATCCAGGAGAGCAGTGCTTTGCGTGCAATGAGCGTCGTGTCTTCAGCACTTGCAGTCAGTTCGCTTGCATGTACTCTCCAGCATCAAAGCACAGGCTCATGTATCCCGCAGCAAAAACCGACTGCAACCACGCACGTACTCGTTGCGGTTCGTCTGTCCTGACACGACATCGTTTGTGCATTGCCACGCCGCATGCAGTTGCTGTTCCTCCACCATTTTGCCAGCGGCTGCAGTGGCCGGTTGATGCGTCCTGTTCTGGATGCGCTCATACACATCACGGTGCACATCACGCACGTGTCGTCGTACGCCAGTGAATGGGCGTGCTCTTTGCCACGCTTGCACGTCACAGAATGCAGTGCAATTACAGTGGCTGTGTGCGTTGTTCTCGTGCACAGGCACGTCCCCACAACCACGCCGCACCACCGCCACGCCGTGTTCACGCAGTAGCCCTCCCGTCCCAGGCGTGCCGCCGCAGGTCGTCTCGTTGCACGGTGGGGCTCTGCCCTGGTCCAACGTACAACACACACGCACAGTTGATGCCACGCTGTCCAGCACCTCCTCAGATTCAGCAAATTGTGATCCAGGACGGATCAAACGCCATGTGCAGCCTGTTGCAAAGCGTTGTCACCTGCCAGTCGTTCCACAGCTGCTCGTCCACAAACTCGTGGTGCAGGAAGAACAGCGGATGGTACGACGGATCGTGAGGCGAATCATGCGGCGAAGGATACGTTGCCGTTCTTCCCGCCTGCCCACAAACAGGTGCACGTTGCCGTGTGGAGCAGCTGCAACGTGTGCGAGGATGCCACCAATGCAACGTCCGCGGGTGAAGAGGAGTGAGTGACAGTGCGCTGTGCTGCCGTCTATCGCGGCCACCAACGTTCCACACACTTGCCTGGCGCACAGACAGCGCGTCAATCGTCCAGTCCCAGCTTCGGATAGCCACGTTGCAGTTGCTGCTCTCCTCCCGCAGCGTCAGCACCAAGGTGCGTGTTGGCCAACAGCCACCACATGCTGCTCTGTTCCAGCGTGTGCGTGCAGCATAGATCGTCACGCATGCACGCATCGAACACGATGTGTATGAGCTCGAGAGAGCTGCTGAGTTGAGTTGGCTGTGGATGGTGGTGTCATTACAAAAGCACTCGCGCTGCAAGAGAGTACTGAGAGTAATGGTCGCAGGAAGGTGCACGCACAGTGAACGTGAGATGGCTGCACTGCACAGTACAGCTGCGTGCACACATGTCTGAAAGAAAGCATGGTGACAAGAGAAAGGGTAACAAAACATGCTGCGCACTGTTCTCACGTGGTGGTTGCATCCACTGCCAAGCCAGTGCAGCGCGAAGAAAGGTTGCCGTCCATGATGATGACGATGAAGGAAAGGGAAGTGAGCTGTGGCCTTGCACGGAGTGCAGAAAAGAGATGTCGCTACACTGCGCAAGTTGCCTTCACGGTTGTTGCTGCTTGCTGCTGTTCTGGGTGTCAGCATGCGTCCTTGTTTGTGTCACTGGCAGTGGTTATCATCGTTTGGAAGTAAACGATGAGGTGGAAGAAGGTAGCAGCTGCAGCACACATTTGGAATCACGCCGTGGTTCGCTGTCTGTGCGGGTGATGATGAT